TATCTGTAGTGGGATCTACGTTCCATGCTGGTCAGACATTTTGCAAAATGCCTAGTCATTTTGTAAAATGGCTAGCCATTTTGAAAAAAGCCTGGTTGCGTTCAGTCATTTTTCAAACAGCCGTCTTTTTGTAAAATGCCTAGGCATTTTACAAAATGACTGATTTTCTAAAGTGCCTGCAACATATATATATATATATATATATATATATATATATATATATATATATATATATATATATATATATATATATATATATATATATATATATATATATATATATATATATATATATATATATATATATATATCAGAATGGAAATTGTCGTAAGACAAAATTAAGTCTGAGTATAAGGTGGGTTACAATAAAGTAGGTAGGTATGTGCAATATGCAAAATAATCTCTTGCAATGCATCATCGTAATGTGCATGTCTGTCAACACTTTCACGTCCTACTATTCGGAAACTCGGAGTCACTTTGCCGGTTTCTGCACACAGGTGCACTGTTCACAGTCATTGAGCTTTACAAGGCGGATTCACCAGCCCGACTGAGTGTGACCTGCACTTTCGCTGTCGGGTGCCGCACGCGCCGCTCGTCACTGCTTGAGTTTCTCCCGGAAGGGTGTGACGTCCGTGTCTATTGACCCCCAAATAACTGTGCTTGTTCAGCGGGTACCCATTCCATGTTATCCCGGACTCACTACAAAAAGATGATAATTTATGCTGTGCATTCGCTCACCGTCTAGACTAAATTTATAATTGGAGGCATTTTTCAATTATCCAGTGTTCTCTTCGCGTGGCTCAAGTTCATCCAGTTTGTGAAAGAATCTAATCATTTTTTTTCCGTTACACCTTTAGCTCTACCTTGCTAGCCTGACCTCTCCTCACACCTCAGCGTTAGTTAGACTGACCGATCTTCTCTGAACCTCATCAGCTGGAGACTGACTCTATCTGACCTGTCTGTGACCTTACCTTGATGACTGACCTTTTCCATCTGGCCCCGGTAGCGAGATGATCTATCCGCGGAGCGGGGTCACCATTACCGGGAGCAGCGTCGCCGTCGACTGCGGCCACTCCGCTCCCTGAGGGACAGCTGTCTCTGCCTGCTGGTGCTCCTGGTGGCCGTCCTCGTGATCGCCGCTGTTCTCACACTGGTGTTTTTCGTTCTCAGGGGTATGTTTGTGTATGAATGGTCATCTGCTCGTCATGTCGCCTAAACACAGTCATGTCCATTAAATGTAACACGTTATAAACCATGCATGCACCTCAGATAAGGCAAAAAACGCACGGGCGCAGGCATGGCTACCAGAGCCGAAGCAAAGTCACGCACTGGAATGTATTGATAAGATAAAGCGTGTCTTAGTCCCCGCATAAGCTATTTTAACCGTTTCAATATACATTCATTAGGTTCGAATGTTCAAGACATAACACAATGATGTTGGTTGTCAACAGTACTTCATAATTTGAGAAGGATGTCACTTTTTACCTTTCCCGGTAACATGTGTCCAGTCACAAAATTAATAAACTTATACCAACCGATCGCATACAGATTTAACTTTGATATAGGTATGAAAACATTAATCGATAATTATCGGCATTGTCAGATCTTTGTTCCACGTTTCCGTTTCAGATTTATCAGAGAAATGGCCAGGCGAAGAAGCGGTACTGGAAACGATCAAAATTGAAGACCTTCTTCAAAACCACAGAAACATAGGTCAGATAATTCATGATCGGTGAAGGATAAGCTGATACCAAAATGTAACATAAGATTGGGAATATTTTCGTTACTTGTAAACGAGAAGTACTTCCAGGTGAATGGTGGGGTGGTGTTTGTGATTAATAGAAAATTCAATGGATATAGATCGGCATTTCGGTGCAACCGATGCAACCATGCAACATTTATTTTCAAATTATTTTCATCTTGTCGTATTTTTCTACGGCCTTGGCAGCATTCACGTCTTCTCGTTAGACTCATTACAACTGGTTGAAAAACCGTACGCGAGCTTTAGATGGCGCGGTTTATTATACTGTTCTATTATCTAAAGGAAATGAGGTTTCATGACATCATTTTAAGTATTGTTATTGTTTCGCCCTTTTGATCTGTGCTTATTTACTTGATGTCAGTAACTAAACAAGCTTGAATCTATCAGTAAATGAATATAATTAATATTAATTCTACCGTCAATTGATATGCTTCGATATAACTTGTGTCTTTTAATACCATGCACATCTTAGAATTACCATACGACTTCTGCATCTATAGGAGACACTTATAAGTACGACATTATTTCGGAGCTTGAAGATTTCGGCGACGAGGCTAATTGGCACGACTCTATCATAAAAGGTAATGTGATCTAAAAAATGCCTCGAACATACATAAAACTAGCAGATAAGCACACTCACTAAGATATTTCTTAAAAGTGGACTTACAAAACAGATTTGTTGGTAAAGAAGATGTATTGGAATCTAAAGTCACCTTTAACTTTTCATCTTATTATAATAGGCAGCCCTTCTAAGCACATTCTGATAAAGCAATGTTTTTCGCAGAAGCGATGGACGACTCCGGAAAGCCAAAGAAATCTTCCTCGTCTGAGTCGTCATCATCATCAAGCTCTTCATCCGGCTCAGAGATAGGCACTGACATCGAGCTATCGCCCAGCAACCAACCGATCAAGAAGTCGGACCCGGAGCCAGAGCCGCAGCCGCCGCCTCTTCCGCCTCCTCCCACTTTCTCTTCGGACGACGGAGAGATAGAAGAAGAGATCGGGGAAGAGGATGGCTTCGGTTTCCCTCCCGGGATGTCGCCGGCAGAGGACAACCCGTTCTCAAGCCAGTCTCCAGGGAACGGTGGACTACAAGAACCGCTGTCGCCACCACAGGAAGATACATTTTCTGGGCGACAATATCCAGATGACGGACAGCCTGATCCGTTCTCCCCGCCGAGTGACAGACAGTCCTTGGGGCAGTTCTCTGGAAGTGGACGGCCGTCTGAAACAACATCTCCAGCGGGTGAGGACCCATTCGCGGGACAGTATCCTGGTCCAGGAGGGCCGCTCGAGGGAGGGTTTTCTGGAAGTGATGGCGCCTTCTCCGACCAGAAGGCTGGCGGCGTCGGACCATCGTTCTCGAGAACCCCTCAGGAATCATCTAGCGAGTGGGAAGCGCAAGGCACGCACCCAGACAGCTCGTCTGCTACGGAGCAGCAGTTTGGACCTGATGATGGTGACGGTGGCAGTGATCAGTTCAATTTGTTTGCATCACAGGGAGGAGGCCCAATCAGCTCGCCTCCTACCGGTGATGATGCCACAGACGATGATCCCTGGAGGTCGACACCAGGAGGGTTCGGGCCATCATCTGACATACCAGCTGCTCCCGAATGGAACCAAGGAGCTCCTGGTAGCGACCCTCGGATAAATGAAGAGACAGAACAGTCCTCGACCGAAACTGAAGAAGGTGAAACACGTTTCCAGACTGGAGCTGCAGGAGCTCAACTAGAATCCCCCTTTGAAACATTTGCTGGTGCATCGTCAAACAGTCAAAATGCAGACCCATGGGACACCACAACACCTGGAGGATTCGGACCTCCCTCTAAAACAGACGAGCCTACAGACAGCTTTGGGGCCGGTCCTCCGGCAGGCGTTGGAGGATCAGAGATTCCACGAGATTCCACGGGGGCAAAGTCATCGTCCGATGACGGCGAGTCCCATGATGAGGCAGTAGTAGAGGTCAATGACGCACCTGCTGCCACACCACCTGCCACGCCGGCTGAATACGGCACAGCCAACGGAGATTCATTATTCTCAGGTGGTTTATTCGGAAATGAGCTGCCTCCACGAGTTGCCTCCTCGACGGATGATGATAATACTTCACCGCAAGCGGGCAGTCAGCCTGAGATGGCTCGTTCACCTGCAGCATCAATAGCTGCAGCAGAGGAGCAGCCCTTGTCTTTCCAAGGCTCGGCAGCGGCGGATGTCGAGCAAACCAGTGCAAATGATGCCCGCAGCAGTGCATCGTCTTCGTCCTCTTCGTCGTCGTCGAATGAAGATGTGCCGGAAGACCTCTCTCATGTCAATGAACCAACAGAAGATATTCCTCTTCCTTCAGCAGGCTCTAACCCTGGTGTCGGTGCTACTCAAAGCCGAGAAGACAGCACCGGACAGCTGAGAGAGCAGAAGTCCTCTTTCTCATCTTCCCTAGGCGACGCAAGAACAACATCATCAACTATTCATGATACTGAAGAGCCTGTGGGTGCGACTGCGTCAGAAGCAGCGCCTGACGTTGTCGCATCGACAGAGAGCAGCCAAACTCGGACTCAGACAGCCAGTAGCATGCTCAATCAAAAACATTCCGTCTCCAAAACAGATAGTAACGTTTCAAGAAGGAGATCCTCTCTAGGGCAAGTAAGCAGCGCTACCACTAGAAGAAGGTCCTCGCTCGGTCAGACTTCTAGTACCGTGTCTCAGAGACGATCATCTCAAAGCTCTTCGCCTGCGTCTCCTCCTGAAGCAGCAAGTCCAACAAAACCAATGCCGAAACAGGCAAACCCGTCACAACAAGATATCAGCGGAACTTCACAGAGGCGACAATCTGCGCAGCGAGGGACCCCGCCCTCTGACGCATCGTCCCCTGTGAGGTCTCGAGCAAGTCTTGTCCGCGACGGTGTCTCCTCCGTTGCAAAGAAGTCCAGCGTGCTCGTCACCCAGTCGTCGGGAATCTTCAGAACGGGCTCAGCCTTTCGCGGCGCTCGGGTGTCAACGGACGTCGTGAAACTAAGTCCTACTCCTTCAGATGGGATAGCCAGACGGACCAGTTCCAATCGGGGAGGTGGAGCTCCTGTGAGGACCGCCGAGAGTCGCAGCGGTGTGAAGGTCACAGGTAGCACGACACATCCCTCCAGCTCCGGAATCGTCGGACCCGACAGGGCAGGATCCGGTACGGCGGCACCAACTCCAGCATCACCACCAGCAGCAGCGACGGCAACCTCACAAGCAACAGCAGATAGCGAAGGGGCGCAGTCACCTCCAATGGTAAGGACTCTTCCTCTTGCTTCCCTCTGCCAATCTGCTTTTACCATTTGATCACATCAATTGTCGCAAAAAAATGGAGCTGCTGTTTTCCGTTTATGTAACTAGGTGTCCTACGCAGCGGGCCAGCGATGTGATGTGCGAATTATTTCCTTGACATTTTTTTTTTTTTTGCTTGGCGTCCCTTACATTCTACAAGAGCATGACGTCCTACCGATTCTGTTTCAGACACTGGCCGGTATGCTGGCGGGCAGCACTCTGGCCTCTCTGGCCAGGGACGGCCTCTCCCGACTGGTCCACCCGGCTGCCGCAGCACCCTCCACCGACTCCGACTCGGGACCGGAGAGAGCCAGTGACTCCACGCGCAGACTCGAGTCGAGACGACGACCGAGTCAGCAGGTGTCCCGGAGTCAGAGTCGTGGTGCAAGTCAGCAGCCCCAGTCGGCGCCGAGTCGGAGACTCTCACAGATTCCGAGTGGACAGGGTGTTGGGTCGAAAAGGAGTCAACAGCGGTCACAGGTGGCTCAGCAGCAGAGTCGGGAGCTGAGTCAGAGACCAGTGAGCGGTACGACTCGACAGCCAGTGGAAGATGAGCCGAGGTCTCGACAGGATCAAGATGGAAGAGCAAGTCAAAGGGACAGCCAGCCTGTCATAAATCAGCCTAAGTCACAAGAAATCCATCCAGAACCGAAAGGTGCTGGGAAACAGAAGAGTCCTGACGAGGGTTCTTTGGATCCCAAATCGAGTCCTTCTCATTTAGTTTCCCTGAAGGATAACGCTGAGTCACAGAAGGAGCAAAGTGACGTGTCCAAAAACGAAAACGGTAGCTCGGATGGATTCAAATCACGTGAGTGGTTTTCTCTCATGACGTTGAAACGCTTTAGGGGTTTTAACGTTTAAACGTTTTTTGTCTAATAACCTGTATTTACAGTTTACACCCGCTTTCAATGTACCTAATACCCAAACCAATCGAATAATACTTTAAACGTTTAACATGTTGATGCCACTTCTCTCTATATGCCTTATTTGGTGTAAACAAAAGTCGTTGTTATGTTTACTTTCAACCTTCTCAACCACGGGGCACCGTTTCGCTGTCGTCCCCAGAGACAAACCTGGTCGACCAGTGCACGGTAAGCAGACTAAGATTCTGCGACGGCCGGCTCCCCTACCGGACCACGTCGCTGCCAAACTTCGCCGGCGCCTCCTCCGACCAGGAACTGGTCGATAATCTCGTCTTCTTTGAGGTCAGCTATGGGGAGATGGTGTTGAAAGCTTCAACCTCACCCGTTTATCAGCTGCACAGGAAGGTGTGCTGTATTTTTTTTTTTCTTCTAACAATGCGATAAGGTGATAGCCTGATAGGTACAATTTTTGTTTTGCATCTTTGCCTAATTCTCATGTCATATAGGTGTCTATTGGTTTGGTATCGATAAAATGCTTGGCATTTCAGAACGATATAGTTCAAGTGCTTGTATTCTATGCTCGTTATGGTTTCGCTGGGATATGTGTTTGGCTTATTATTGACGTTTCGGTGGTGTTTTCCAGGCGATTTCGGAGAGCGGCTGCAGTCCATTGGCAGCCGAGTACGTGTGTGCCGCCATGGAGCCCCAGTGTGTTAGCCGGCCGACGCCGCACGTCCTGCCGCCGTGCCGACACTTCTGCCAGGGTGAGATCGTGATCGGAACGTGTGTTCTGGAGAGAATAATGTCAGCCGGCTAATCTGACGTATAAGTTTCGAACCATAAGATAAACTAGCTTGCGCAGTTTATCTGAAGAGCATGGTATCTACTACACATTCATGTCCCCTAAACACTTACCATGATAATAGAGAAATAAAAAGTATGCATTTCTCGTTCAGGCCAATTACCTATACAGAAGACAGATACGAGTACCTCGGTACCTACCGATTAACTATTGGTTACCGCCAACTGACCTCGATCACCGCTCCTCTATACCTTCGGACAGACATAGTGTCCAGCTGCGGTGCTGCGATCCCTTCCAGTCTGAGCAGGAATCGCGCCTTCAACTGCAGTCTGATGCCAGACTCCACCGACCCGAGCGTCTGCTACTCATCAGCCGCAGGTATAATCGTTGTATAATGAACTCAACAAGTGACAGCGTGACGCGTCATGGACTGTTCAATAATTAAGACGTTTACTTTTATTATATTTCCGCTACAACTATGGGTAAAGTTTATTTCACTTTTGTTGATTTTCTCACGTTTATGAACATTTATTTTGGCTCCCTTCTGCAGACGGTTGCGTGCTCTCCGAGTTCGCGTGCGCCGACCAGACGTCCTGTCTGCCGGCCGAGTGGCGGTGTGACGGTACGCCGCAGTGTGACGACGACAGTGACGAGCTCGGCTGTGACGGCTGCTCGCCGCTCCAGTACAGGTGCGACCACAGCGTGACGGTGACGGGTGGCCAGAGTGGCTGTCGTATAGGCGGCGCTCGGTTCATGGCTTGCATTTCTTTCGAAATGCTGAATAAACGCGGCGGGGAGGTTAATTACTAGCTTTAAGCAGCTTTGCGGTCTATGACGTCAGTATGTGTGTCTGCGATGCCAGGATGTGTGCTTGTGACGTCAGTATGTGTGTCTGTGGGTCTATCAGACGCCATGTTGTATCTTATGACGTCAATCTAAGTATGTGACGTCAGTATGTGTGTCTGTGGGTCAATCAGACGCCACGTTGTGTTTATGGCGCCAGTCTAAGTCTGTGAAGTCAGTCTATGTGTCTCTGAAGTCTGACCTCAGTCTGTGTCACAGATGTCGGCCGGTCGGGGGCTCTGGATATGTCTCAGCTCTGTGACGTCAGTATGTGTGTCTGTGACGTCAGTATGTGTGTCTGTGTCGTCAGTACCTGTGTCTATGTCGTTAGTATGTGTCTGTGTGACAGTACGTACCTCTGTGACATCAGTACCTGTGTCTATGTCGTTAGTATGTGTCTGTGTGACAGTACGTACCTCTGTGACATCAGTACCTGTGTCTATGTCGTTAGTATGTGTCTGTGTGACAGTACGTACCTCTGTGACATCAGTCCCTGCGTCTATGTCGTTAGTAGGTTGTGTCTGTGTGACATTATGTACCTCTGTGACGTCAGTCTCTGTGTCTATGTCGTTAGTATGTGTCTGTGTGACATTACGTACCTCTGTGACGTCAGTCCCTGTGTCTATGTCGTTAGTATGTGTCTGTGTGACATTACGTACCTCTGTGACGTCAGTCTCTGTGTCTATGTCGTTAGTATGTGTCTGTGTGACATTACGTACCTCTGTGACGTCAGTCCCTGTGTCTATGTCGTTAGTATGTGTCTGTGTGACATTACGTACCTCTGTGACGTCTGTCTATGTCGTTAGTATGTGTCTGTGTGACATTACGTACCTCTGTGACGTCAGTCCCTGTGTCTATGTCGTTAGTATGTGTCTGTGTGACATTACGTACCTCTGTGACATCAGTACCTGTGTCTATGTCGTTAGTATGTGTCTGTGTGACAGTACGTACCTCTGTGACATCAGTCCCTGCGTCTATGTCGTTAGTAGGTTGTGTCTGTGTGACATTACGTACCTATGTGACGTAAGTCCCTGTGTCTATGTCGTTAGTATGTGTCTGTGTGACATTACGTACCTCTGTGACGTCAGTCCCTGTGTCTATGTCGTTAGTATGTGTCTGTGTGACATTACGTACCTCTGTGACGTCAGTCCCTGTGTCTATGTCGTTAGTATGTGTCTGTGTGACATAACGTACCTCTGTGACGTCAGTCCCTGTGTCTATGTCGTTAGTATGTGTCTGTGTGACATTACGTATCTCTGTGACGTCAGTCCCTGTGTCTATGTCGTTAGTATGTGTCTGTGTGACATTACGTACCTCTGTGACGTCAGTCCCTGTGTCTATGTCGTTAGTATGTGTCTGTGTGACAGTACGTACCTCTGTGATGTCAGTACCTGTGTCTATGTCGTTAGTATGTGTCTGTGTGACATTACGTACCTCTGTGACGTCTGTGACATTACGTACCTCTGTGACGTCAGTCCCTGTGTCTATGTCGTTAGTATGTGTCTGTGTGACATTACGTACCTCTGTGACGTCAGTCCCTGTGTCTATGTCGTTAGTATGTGTCTGTGTGACATTACGTACCTCTGTGACATCAGTACCTGTGTCTATGTCGTTAGTAGGTTGTGTCTGTGTGACATTATGTACCTCTGTGACGTCAGTCCCTGTGTCTATGTCGTTAGTATGTGTCTGTGTGACATTACGTACCTCTGTGACGTCAGTCCCTGTGTCTATGTCGTTAGTAGGTTGTGTCTGTGTGACATTACGTACCTCTGTGACGTCAGTCCCTGTGTCTATGTCGTTAGTATGTGTCTGTGTGACATTACGTACCTCTGTGACGTCAGTCCCTGTGTCTATGTCGTAAGTATGTGTCTGTGTGACATTACGTACCTCTGTGACGTCAGTCCCTGTGTCTATGTCGTTAGTATGTGTCTGTGTGACATTACGTACCTCTGTGACATCAGTACCTGTGTCTATGTCGTTAGTATGTGTCTGTGTGACATTACGTACCTGTGTGACATCAGTACCTGTGTCTATGTCGTTAGTATGTGTCTGTGTGACATTACGTACCTCTGTGACGTCAGTCCCTGTGTCTATGTCGTTAGTATGTGTCTGTGTGACATTACGTACCTCTGTGACGTCAGTCCCTGTGTCTATGTCGTTAGTATGTGTCTGTGAGACATTACGTACCTCTGTGACGTCAGTCCCTGTGTCACAGATGTCGGCTGGCTGGGGCTGAGTGGACTGTTCTCAGCTCTGTGACGTCAGTATGTGTGTCTGCCGCAGATGTCGGCCGGCCGGTGGCTGTGTGGACAGGTCTCAGCTCTGTGACGTCAGTATGTGTGTATGTGTCACAGATGTCGGCCGGCCGGCGGCTGTGTGGATCGGACCCAGCTCTGTGACGTCAGTTACAGTATGTGTGTCTGTGTCACAGATGTCGGCCGGCCGGTGGCTGTGTGGATCGGACCCAGCTCTGTGACGGGTTTGCCGACTGCACAGAAGGCGACGACGAGCGAGACTGCCTCCAAAAAGGTATCATAAATGGAAATGTAGCACGCTACATCTTGACCATCTAACGTAGTATCTTTTCGGCACGGTCGGCCCGGTGACGCGCAGCTGAGCAGAGCGCTGCCGCACGCTTCCCTCCCTTGTCATTATTCCCTTCCTCCTCCCACCCGTCCCCAGGTCCACCCTCCCCAATCATTTCTCACTGTCCGCACAGAACGGGCCGCCATTAAACTCCAATTAAGACAAGCACCTCTGAAGACAGTCACATCAGGATGAGTCATTGGTAGTCATTACAAAGCAGCTGAAGCTACAAGCAAACGTCGGCACACTGTGACACCACGCGCAGGCTTAAGGCACGTAGCACATTGGGTCTCACGTAGCCATGGTAGCACAACAGTGCGTCTCACTGCAACGGAATCTGCTAAACTTAGCAGACAGCTTCCGAAACAGACGTAGTTCAGGACGTCTCCACTGCGGACAGAAAGCGCTGTTGTCCGAAACAAACGTAGTTCAGGACGTCCCCACCGCGGACAGAAGGCGCTGTTCTACCGACCCTCCCAACCAAGATGACGTCAGTGGGCGGAGCAAGAGTGACGTCACAAGGGGCGTTGCCGGCAGACGAAACGGAAGGAAACAAAAGTTTGAATAAAATGAAATTTAAGAATCAAAATTAAAACTCGAAAATCACCAACCTTTCGGGGATTGGTTTATGCCAGCGACTACTAAGATGATAAAGCACTCAACACGAAGATGATTCGACGGCCAAAAATTGCAGACACAGAGGAGCAAGGTGACTAAACAGGACAGAGGGCGCCATCTTACGGGCCCACCCACAAGAGGAAGGCAGAGGAAGATGACGGCGCAAGGGCGTGGCAGTCACCCCCTCCCCCCAAGCTATAAAAGGGTGCACCACCCAACCAGAGAATCACAGTCGAGCAGCCGAGAGTCACAGTCTGCAGCCGGAGCCGGAGACGCCATCTGGGAGCCGCCGTCAGTCCGGGGTCACCCGCGAGAAGTCTCTTCAGTTCGAGCGCAGAGGAACTCCAGAATGTGAGTGCTGTTGAAAAGTCTGCTCAATCCCTGATCCTTGCCCCTTCCCCCTCTGCCCAGCTGCCGTGCCGTGACGACTGCCAAACATTTTCGGTTGCCATAAAATGCACTCTCAATTGGAATTGGAAAACCTAAATTACTTTGAACTTATTGGTCCAGACACCCTAGTAGCATATTAGGATCTGAATTGTGAGGTCATGTCAGAGCCGCCAGTAAATACGTTATTGTCAGTTGGAGTGCGAAATACATCGCGATTAGGCCGAGAGCGAGATGCTAAAATTTGAATAAGCAGCTCATTGTCACGAACGTTGAGATTGATGACATGATGCATGTCAGCATTGAATAATGAATATGTCTTTGTGTTTGGCCAAGCTGGTTCGTTGATTTATTATCGGGGTAGTCAGGTGCAATTAAGATTTGAGGTTGGGAAGTTTGTGAAATTAAGGGTATAGATTCATGCTGTACTCACTAAAAGTTGCATTGCGAAATCATTGGTAATATTCCTGTAGGAATTAATTGCGAAGTCGAAGTCAATTATAGAACAGGTAAATACGTTTCAAAAGGAATGAAATGTTTAAGGTGGCGACTGATTCATGCAATCGATCTATGAGTATGGCTATGAGTTATGATTTTCGACAGATGCGAATGCTTGAGCTTACGGCGGAATTTCTTCTGTTACTTAGGTGCAGAGTTGAGAGTAGTGGTTCGAGGTCGACGGTCTGACGCTTTGCGACTTTAGATGGTCCTTGTACTTTGCGTCATTGTAGTTGCGAAATGTCGAGTAATAGGTAGATGTAGAATTGTTTGTGATTAAAACTAATATGCGACTAATATAGGTACCGATCGTTGTGCTTTTGTAGAATAAATAATAGAAAAGACCATCTTTGTTGGGAACGATTAAATGGGACGGGAATTTAATTAAAAAAAAAACTTACGTGGAATGGAGCTGATGAGATGTCGAACAGGGAGATATTGCAGCGATATTTTACCAGATTCACACTCACTGACACATTCGTTGAATCTACCCGGCCCGAAGAGACCGCACACACCAGTACTGCACCGCGAGTGATGACGCGCCCATCGCGGCGCGGCCTTGACAACTGTCGACTGTCGACGCGGCGCCGGCCGGCAGCCGTGGTAATCGTCGTTCGCGACGCGGGACCGTGCGCCGCTAGATGGCACATGAGAGCAGCGTCGGGAGTGGAGCAGCAGCCACAGTAGGGCAGTGGGCTAACCGTAATTGGGGCGCGTGCGGTAGGTGAAGGTCATTGTATAGGAGCATGGTTAGTTGTGAAAGTTGCAACAGGATAAGAACGTAAACAGTTCATGCATAATTTTAAAATATGACATGCTATTTGATATTTAGGACTGCACTTCGTTTGATGTGCATTGTTTACTGCTAATAGGATGATTTAAATTATATTTTCTATGAAAGGCTAGGGACCCCTATGACAATATTCTGGCGCTCTATAAAGATAATTTGTATAGACAAGTAGTAGTCCATCAGAAGCTATCGAACGAGTTTTCAAGGAGTCATTTCCGTTTGAGCATTCAGTAATTTAATATGATACGGTGGATCACAACCAGACGATTGATCGGTACGTACTTATTGGTTCTAGATCATCTGATTAAATCAAGAGCAGTTCAAGGCCTGCTAGGATTGTATACGAGAACTGATGATTAGGTTCACGCGTGCAGCAGCAATTAGGACTTGAGATTACGATTAGGTTGGATAAATAATGTGTTTCTGTTATTCGCGTTCTTACGAGTTAGCGCCAATAATTACTCCACCAATATTGGCACAGGGCATTGTGAGGCGCAGACGGCTTGTTTGCCCGTCTCCTATGGCGTAATGTTTACCAGCATGACCGTATGAGACACAGATGCACTTATCTAAACACACGTCCAGACCGGAATAATAAGAGGGACACACCGTCACGTACGCAGGGCATATGCACGTTTTCCGCCAGTGGTACCGGCTACTGTTAGATTTCCCGCTTAGGTAATACTGGGTAACGAGGCAGTGAGAGGTTTCTACGGCAGGGGGAAGGGGAAGATTGGCACGTGCAGTGGAGAGTAAGCTATGCCAAAGGTAAGAAGCCGAAGGTCAGGGGTGAGTCACCCAAAGGGCGGATAAGGCAAGCTGTAGTGTCCCGAATAAGTCCTCATACTTATTTTGTAAGGGTACCTTAATCGGTACTGGACAGCCTCAGGGGAGGTAACGATGTACTCCAGGACACGTAAGGCCTTGAAAGTAAATCCCAGGGTTTAAGGAGAGTTCCTGAGGAGAGTTCCAGGATATGAACGGTGGTCCCTGGGTCGTGAACGGAGGTGTTACACGCGGACCGGAAGAGGGCATAGGTAATCTCTCCCGGATAGAGAGATAAGTCGGATGTAAATCGCGTATATGTGTACCATAAGTCTATCGGACGTGTAGTGAATCCCATAAATTAGCAGGGTGGATATTTGTGCAATTATTCTGGACGGCCCTGCGATAAGTATCTTAGTCGCCGGTTAGCGGAGCATGCATATGGATTTCGGAAAGAGACATTTATCTCGCCGGGGAGACTGTAGTGTCCACCGCCGTCTCCGGGTTCCGATGTGTTCTCACAAACTCGCGGTGCAAAACACTAAGGCACTGTCGTGCTGTGCGGCCGGGCGGAGCCTCTCGACTGCTGGCTCTGACTGGAGCCGAGCAGGGTGCGGCCGCCTCACACTCGTATTACCGGGGGCCCGATGCCGAGCCTCGGACACCCGATGCACTAGGTACTCGATACACTACACATTCCCCCCTCTCGCAAAAAAAAGGAACAGCATCACTGCGACACGTAGTAGTCCGGTCGTCTACAGGCACGGTCGCTTCGCCTGGGACGCTGCACGCTCACATCGGCGGCGTCCGGCGACGGCTCGCAAGCTGTCTCGGTCGACGGGCGAGAAGCAGCGGCGAGCGATGTCAGCGGGCCAGCGGCGTCGGCCTCGGAAGTCGTGGCGGTCGACGTGGTGTCGCCGGGCCCAGCGGGGGGAGATGCTGAGGGAGACGCCGGCGCGTATGGGAGACGGGCCAGATGGGCGGCGTTCCAGGTCCGGCCGTCAGCCAGACGGTACGTTGCGGGACCGACGCGCCCAGTGACTCGCACCGGAGACGTGAACCGACAGGACGTCTTCGAGCGGTGTCCCTGCCGTCTCACGCAGACGTAGTCGCCCTCAGTGATGCGCGGCGTCGTCACGCCACGGCGGCGGTCGTAGGACCTCTTGTTGGACTGCTGTCGGCGTCGAACTCGAGACGCCACACTGTCGGCTCCTGGTGTTGACGGCTGAATGACAGGCAGGTTCAGCCTCATCTGTCGTCCATGCAGGAGCTCTGACGGTGACTTCCCAGTTGTGGTGTGTGGGGTGGCTCGATACACCGCCAGGCTCTTGCGTACCTCGTCAATGAACGCTGCTGGTGGACAGTCTGTGATCCACGACTTGAACGTTTTGTTGAAGCGCTCTACGGCGGAGTTGCCTCTAGGCCAGTAGACGGACGATTTGGTGTGCTTCACCCCTCGGGCGGCCAGATACGCAGTGAACTCCCTGCTCGTGAACTGGGGCCCATTGTCCGTCACGATCTCGTCAGGATAGCCCTCTTTGGCCCACACAGTTGACAAGAACTTGATGACGTCTTCAGTCTCAGTCGATGACGTCAGGCAGACTTCCGCCCATTTGCTTCTGTAGTCAATCAGAGTGATGGCGTAACGGGCAGTCGCTGGTGCTCCGTTGATTGGACCAACGATATCCATGCCCAGTTTCGACCAGGCGCGGTCCGGCAGGTCGACTGGCTGCATGGGCGCAGGGCGTGCGCGCTGGGAGAGGACTGCGTCGCTGTGCTGGCAGCGCTCGCAACTTCGGCACAGCTCCTCCACCTCACGGTTGATGCCGGGCCACCACGCCAGATTCCGCAGCGCCTGTTTCATGCGGACGATTCCGTCGTGCGCGCTGTGCGCCAGCTCCAGGTATCTGCGGCGGAGCTGAACGGGCACAACAACTTGTTGGGCTCCTCTCAGGATGACGTCGTCGTTGCGCACCCACAACTCGTGTCTCATCTTGAAGTACGGCTGGACTTCAACCGGGCAGGCCTTGGCGCTGCTCGGCCAGCCGCGCTTGATCTGATGACGCAGCTGCTGCAGCTCAGGATCAGCAGCTGACGCGGTGCGGACGTCTTGCTCGGTCAGCACGCTCTCTTCATCTGTCAGAAGAGCGATCACCTCTTCTTCAGCGGAGCTGTCTTCATGCAGGTCCGCTTCTTCGGGGTGGCCACGGACCATTGTCAGTGAGCATATCTCGCCAGGGTCGGGCTGAGACGGTGGCGGTTCCGGGACTTCTGCGCTCCCAGTGACCGCCAGCGGATCGATTGCCCCACTCGCGGGGTGCAGGTTTACGTCCAACTGCTTCAGCAGGTCCAGTCCCATGACGGCTTCTTCACCGTCGGAATCTATGATGAAGAACTCTGTGTTGGCTCGCCGTCCACGGTAGGTCACCAGCGCTGGCAGCGTGCCAAGCACTTGAAGCTGGTGTCGACCAAAACCGAACAGACGAGCAGACGTTCTATTGAGACGACTGCCTTTGAAGAGACGTCTGGCGATGCCGAGTCCTAAAGCGGACACCGTGGCACCCGTGTCAACTTGCAGATTCACGGTCTGCGTGATACCTGGTACCTCCATCTGTACTTCGCACATCATCTTATCGGTATTTGGTACGGCGCAGCAGAGAACAGTCAGCTCGTGACACCTTCTGTCGTCGTTCCGTTCACCAGACCAGCAGACCACGGCAAAGTGACCCGTCCGCCCACACTGCCTGCACGTGGCCCCGGTAGCGGGACACCGACCGCGCTCATTGTGCTGGCGCCGACCGCAGCTGGGGCACGTGTCCGGTTGCAGCTGGGCAGGTCCGGGGCGACGGTCGGCATGCAACTGGGCAGGGGCGGGGCGGCGGTCGTCTTGCCGCCGGGCGGGTCGCCAGGGCCGGCGCCTGCGGCGCTGACGAGCGTCAGATATCTGATGCAGTGACTGCGCTCCGTCGGCGGCGGGCCGCGCCG